ACAGATAAAATTATAGGAGAAACATCGTTGTCATCGTATCGATATGAAGAAGTCGCGTAAAAGTCGTTATTACTTTTATCATCCTTCAATACTAACGCGTTCAACATTTGGTGAATCATCAATAAAATGATTTAAGTTTATCATAAACAAACCAAAATGAAACAAAAAATGGCTGGTTCACATGTTATGTAAAATCTATATACAAAAAATGAGCACTTGATGCGTTTAACATTATCATTTTCAATAACAAAAAGGATTTTTCATAACAATTATAAGCGTTCTGGCCACTATATAAAAGTATTTCCATCGTGAATTTTGTAATGGAAGATAAAAGTCATTAGTTTCTTAATTTTAGGCGAAAGCTCGTGAGTGGATTTTTAGATTCCGGTTGGCTTATCCCTATATTATACTCCTAACCAAAAATGATAGTGAATTTCAGAAGTAACTAAAATAGCGGTGCAAAACCAAATCAAAGTGTTATAATTCTCTCTTACGGTTATAACCCAGCTATTTCTATTGCTTAGTATTCTTGGACACCAACTCACTCGACAAGTCCCCAAATAAGAACACGGTTGAACAGGAAAGAAATTATATTCCAAATAACAAGGTTAGATGGAAGTAAGAAGTACAATAGGAAAACCATTAGTATATTTATAGTTTTTACATGAGAAAATTTCTAGAGTATTCTCTAAGTATCGACTAGCGCTGATTGGGCAAGAATTGGGCAATCACCGTGCACTAAAGCAATCGTGCGTTGAGCATGCTTTAATCCAATCTATGTCCCGCTAACACAAAGTAATGAATTGTAGCAATTGATACACAAACTTTAGGGCCAAAGCCCACCTACATTATGGTAAAAATGACCGTCAGAATTCGATGCAATTACGAAACTAGTTGTAATCTGACAGAATGTGTGCGCGTACGTCACAGAATCACCCACCCTAATTCCTATGACTGAATTACGTGGAATTATTAACGCATAAAATTTTCAGCGTCTAACTACTTGTCTAGTGTCGGGGATAAAGATAGAAAACACCCGTTGAGATTTAAACAAGAAATCGATCCAGTGAAATCTACCTTCTTGATAAATATTTAAAATCATAGCAACTAAACTTTCAGTTTCTTAACAAGAATAACATTTTTTGTGCTCTTGTCTATTTTTTTGTTATGTTTAGCATTATTATCATTATTAGTAATAGGCATATGATTGATTATCATCCTGGGAAAAACGTATATATTTGTGATTGTGCCACTGTGAGAATGAATTCACCGAAAAGAGAAGAGTTTGTTGAATGTTTTTCTATAGTCTTTTATATATTTTTTAAGTGCAATGTCAATAATCTGCAGAAACGGTTAAACCTAAGTAAAATTGACCAAGTATGCAAAGAATACTTTGTAAAAGATCCCAGAGACCAAATAATGAATTTGCTTACTTTTAGCAGTGTATATAAAAGTATTGGATGAACACAAAATGTTAGGAAAGCAGCAATCGTGTGTGAAAATGAAATGAGATAGTTCAGTCAGTCATCTACAACATATGATCAGGCATATAGAAGCACCGGTCGAAGTCGCCATACCTCATTAGCACAACAAGAACACTAAATAGATAGAGGCAGTTACCTCAATGGTAGAAATATATAAAAATATTGCATATAAGAATATCATACAGGGAGAAAGAATTAGTTCGTAGAAAGAAAGGTATGAAGTAATCTTACAGTTTAAGGGAAGACAAAGAGTATACACCTACACCATTGTGATCAATTCTAAACCATGTCACTCAGTCTCCAACCACTCCTTACGATAGTCACGTGGACACCAACCAAGTAGTCTGCATCTACCGACATGGCTCAGACTAGAAGTTTGTGACGTCAAGGACTGATGCCACGTTTTGGTTTGGCCAGCTCTAACTTTCTTCCAACCATCTCCAACACGTCACTACTGCATGTCATGGTAACATGTGATTTAACATGCATAATACGTGCCCAAACCATCTCAGTCGATGTAGATTCATAACTTTATCAAATGATTTATTATCATTCCTTAATACCCTGTATCTAACATCACCATTACACACCCGGTTATCCCAGCAGATGCCAGCAATATTTCTAAGACATCTGTGATCAAATAATATTAACTCACAAGTATCTTCTACTCTTAATGGCCACGTTTCGCAGCCGTAAAGTAGAACAGAACAAACTGATGGATGGATATCTCGCCTTCGCCACAGGTAACGTAAGTCGGAAAAAGCCAAACTAGCCTTTCAAAAGCGTGCAGAGATTTCTTCAGACACCAAACCCATTAAGGCTGATCAGACTTCCAAGATAAATGAACTTGTCAACGCGTTCGACTACTTCACTACCTATCCTTAGTTCAGGTGTTGACGCAGACCAGTCCTGAAGCGACAACTTGCATTTAGAGGGAGAGAAGCGCATTCCAAACATTCTGGCATTGTTGCTCAGTGCTACCAGAGAACTCTGCATTTTGTCAGCGTCTTCACCAAACAGGACTGTGTCATCTGCGTATTCTAAGTCGATAAGTGGACCTCCTGGATGGAGATCAATACCCGAGAATTCAGTTGACGAGAATGTTATTTCCATCAATAAGTCTATGATGAAGTTAAACAAAAATGGAGAAAGTGAACAGCTAGACCATCATTGAAAACCTGGAAGTACTGGATGACCATTTCGTCCCAGTATGGGACTTGTTGAGGCTAATGTCCTCAAAATCTGACTCTAATAAATAATATCTCGGTAACTGAGTATTTAATGCAGGCTAAATCTCCTGGTAGAATTATGGATTTTACGCGAGATTATTCAAAAGCCTGAACACCAGTTGTAGAGATAATTTATTGTTAATAAAAATCCGCAAGCGTACAGCGAGCAAGCACACGATGAAACAAAGTAGAAATGATGCGCAGTGGAGATGGCTGGTAATCCAACTCCATTTTAGTCAAGCGTTACTCAATATTTATATTCAGACAAAATAAAGCTACAGACATGCAATCAACTACGTGTGACTTTTCAGGGAGAGGAGCATTTTCCAATATTTCCTTAATCGAAACAGTATTACTAACCTAGTAACTAGTGTTTATAAAAAACTGTGAGGTGGAATTCAATTTTGTAAATGGCTAGGTACCAACAACGAACTACTACATTTATGGTCTTGGACACCAAATCAGACAGATAATAAAGATCCTTCAGCAAAACAAAATTCTTTACAGTAGATATCAGCTCCGCCTGGAGCCCCCTTCTAAGATTACTGTCAATCTCGAAGCCGGGTAAAAGAGAGTTAAGTGAAGGATTAGCAGCCCGACTACAAAAACGCGAAGCAGGAAAGGCCAGTTACCCTATGTAGACTCTACCCTGGGAGTAGAATGGGGAACCACGGCAACAATCAATATCAGTACATGGAATGTCCGAACAATATGGGGGGTCGTGATGCTCCTTCAGACAACAGCAAAAATGGAGAGGTGCAATCTGATTCCATTAGAAATACGCGAAACACATTGGAAACAATCAGGGGTTGCACTGACCTTTTCCAAGGAAACACAAAAAGCCCCAATAAGTTGGAAAATTTATAGGTCTCGGATTATCGAGGCACCCGACGAGCGGAAATATGTGGAAGACCTGACAATCACAGCAAAATAAGCTACAGGAGAAGGAATAATGAGAGGATTGTATGATGCAATCAAGTTAAGAGGGAAAGATAGTAAACCAGACCGACTAGTTATGACCAAAAAAAGAAAACCAATCAGTGTGGAGTAAGAGCAGTTGAACAGCTGGATAGAGTACTTTGAAGAGCTCTTGAATAGAACATCCCAACTGAACCAATCGGACATAGAAGTAGCACACATAGACCTTCATATAAATAATACCCCACCAACAATAAAAATTAGCAAGACTGTAACTAATAATGTCTTTTAGTCTTCATCTATGGTTCTTACTATTTTTTTTTTCATCAACTATCAGACATCTGCACAACCTAATTTTAACACTCGAAATTGCTGAACACTTTATTACGCAACTACACTCTATTTTTCAATGAACTTCTGTATGTCAAATAATTATGAGATTGTAAAGGTTCAACGAATTATAAGATTGAAAAGAGAAGTTTATTGCTTGATGATACTTTATTTTATTATAGATAGGTGAGGGGCGATTTCGTCTTGATAGATGAACTTAATTTTCCTATAAATTCATAACGATGAAAGTATTAGTTAAGTAAGCTGATTAAATTTATTAAGAAAACGAGTTGTGTTAGAAAAAAACACGTCAACAGTAAATACAAATATTAGAGAGAATTAATTGTTCACATGATTCCAACACAGATAGATAAAAGATGAACCTTGAAAAAAATGTATCACATGAACAGACATTTTTAAAGCCACATATACATGAGTCAAGAAGAAATACCTGTTTAAAGAGAATTTACGGCAAGCTAGTAACGGTTGAAAATCAGTCGGTCATAATCAACACTGACGACTTTTAATTAATCAAAATTCCCATACCACATCAGCAGAGCGAAATGAAATCAACAAGAAGAATACCAGAAGAGTCTAAATAATAATAGTACCAACCGAAGTTGGAAATATTAATCACTGAGCAATGCTATTCGAAAAGGAGGGATGAATTTGTAGACAGAAAGTACAAAATAATATTAAAGTACAAGACTTAGAGGAAGATAAGGAGCGCATCTTCAGAACTGTGAATAGTTCCAGCCCATTTCACCCAACATCTCCAACCACTGATTATAATTACTGCTACTGAGTGAAACAGTAAAGATTACAGAACGCTGAGGTTAACTGTCTTATTTCAAGAATTTTTAGGTATTACATTGTGCATGCAGACCGCGTAAAAACCCATTATTATAAAAACCAATAGTTATGAAACTTTAGTTGATTTTTCGTCACAAATAAATATATGTACTGAAAAATGATTAGAAAAATCACTTACTTTCTGACTGCAACCAATCAATAAGTGTACCAGCATGTGGATAGAAACCTTCAACTAGATAAGTAAGATCACCTAGATGAAAAGACCTAGATGTAGATGGTACAGATGATGGAGATTCCGAAGAACTGCTAGTAGAACCCATATAAAAAGTCGAAATACAGTCAAAATACGGGTGACCAGATGCCCATCCAATAACAGGATAAAAGCCTACAGAATAAATAAAATGTGACAGATAGGTACAGTACAACTTCATATTATTCGACCCACAATACTAGACTTTAGCTGTCGGTTAAATACAGAAATCTTGCAATGAAATATAGTGCTGCTGAAGTCATATAACCGAGTCAGCAAATAAACCGACCAACCTCCTCACCTTAAATTGAAATTCTGTAGGAGATTAGTTTACCAAGTTGGGTCCCACTACCGTAAAGAACTAGGGATGGATAAACTTAAGTGATGCAGATAAAGCTTGATATACGTACTGAACAAATATTAGACATTTCCTAGAAGGCTGATGAAATTTAAACACGGCTTCATGGATGGGTTGGCACTTAAAATACTGTATACTCCATTTATTTGATACAGATTAATGATCGAAGCATTTTAGACACATAGTAGTTAAATTAAGTAAAAACAACTCACGTATACCTCATAAACTATATTACAGAAGTACCCAGATGTCTGATGGAACTATCAAATCACCCTTGCAACTGTCAGGTTTCCAACAATACGGAGAGTAAGATTGGTGGTCAAAGCACTAGGCTTTTCACATTAAATTTGGATATTTCTCCGTCTACTATGAGTAACGGGATAATTTCCAAAGCCATTACATCATGAGTATGATTTAATGTTGAATATACGAAGTAGTACTGGAAAATTGAATTAACTTACTTCACATGACTGGAGCACGTTTCAGTACACTACCTGTCTTGTAAGGTTGAGTGACAGGTAGAAAAATAAATTGTTTAAGATGAACTAAAGCACGACACCAACCATAAATTAATAATCTAGTTACGCCTGTAAATGTAAATCTTTTCTAATGCTCAACTTGAGTTAGTCACAATAAACGTCTAAAATGTTAACAGTAGAGACTTATTATATCCCAAAAACTAGTGCTCTTTATTTAAATCCCATTTTATCAACTTGTCCAGTACTAAAAACTATACAGAACAAGTTTATGAATAATAATGATAGTTTATCCTGCTGAGAACAAATTAGAAAAGCCTGACAAAATCATTTAAGACATACTATATTATTATTCGTTTGATTTGTTATCACACATTTGAAGTTATTATCCACAAATACATATATGTCCTAGGTTGTTGATAGCTTAACTACTTACAGTATGACAATAATGGATAAGCAGAAACAGTACTAACGTGATATTATGCGTACCATTCATTACGGCTAGAGCTTTAGAACCAGAAAGTAAATTTAAAAATATCCCAGTGCCTAATGTAAGTTTAGCTTGACAAGGAGATAAACAATTTTCTGTTAAGGTGGCAGCTTGAGCATCACCAATGATACCAGTGATCGGAATAGACAAAGAAGGATTTGATGAATACCCCAGTGGACCATTTTGAACAGTGCCATAATAATAACTGAAAAATAAGAACACATGTGGTTATATGATAAGAAATAGGGAATGATAATTAGCTTTTAAAAATTATAGTTAATTGTGAGTGAATTATCACTGACAGTTTCCGAATTACCTATGAAGTTCTTCCACTAAATCCATTAAGCTATGAGAATGACAATTATTACAAACGTTTATTTGCCAGCCAACCATTATTGACAGACAAAACAAATGAGTTAGACAAAATGACCAGCTTAGTGCTATTATGATCCATCTACTCCGATTGCTTAGCATTCTCGGACCCCAACTCGCTCAACAAGTCCCTAAGTCAGAACACGGTTGAACAGAAACGAAACCATGTTCCAAATAACCAAGGTAGATGGAAGTAGGAATCGCAATAAGAAAAACGTTAGTATATTTATAGTTTTTACATGAGAAGATTCTAGAGTCTTCTCCAGGTATCGATGATTGGATAAGAAACAGTCAATCAGAGTGCACCAACACAATCCTGCAAGGAACGTGCTTTAATCCAATCTATATTCCACTAAAACTTAGAGATGACTAATTTTATACAGCCGGATAGGCAAGACAATAAAAACAACGATTATGAGCATACAAAACTATTTGAATAATTTTCAAAGGTGAAAATCTTCATATAACATTATTTTTCAGAAAAAGTTCAAATTTAATTTTTTCGATATATTGTTAAACTAAATGTAGTAGTGATTTGATGGTTAAAGTACTAGACCCATACCAATGGATCTCGAAGGGCTGAATGGTGGATGGAACTATTTGGTCACCACTTACTAAAGGATTGCATCTCCTGAAGTTGATATATTGTCGTGTGGATTGGACCTTCAGGTCAAAGCCTCAGGGAGTTGTCGTTTACAAAAACCAACTACTTCGGTCTGGCCTAGCCCATAAAAAATATGCTGAATTATAAAGAAATTGTGGCAAAACCATGTTAATAACAATGAGTGTATTCGCTCCCAATGACGATAATTCGGTTAGTGAGACAATTTTGAAACATCCACTTCAGTGGCTTGCAAAGAAAAGCTAGCAAAATTATTCCTGCAAGTCAAACTTTTTATCCCCCTCAAGTTTTTGTGGAATATGAATATATGTAACGAAATTATTTTAAAGAACTGTTAGTGAATAAAGTTGATATGATACGAAAAGACTTGTTGGAGGAGGATGATTCAAGTGGCCTGGCTTTAGCTTCATAAACAAAAATGGCGCAGTTTTCATTACTGTGCTACAGAAAACAAACCGGTGCATTGAATGTAAGTGGGGATGCCCAATGCAGCTTAAACAATGGTGGTGGCATATTCTTGATCGAATTAACTAATAAAAAAAATCAAATCTAAAAAAGTAACCTACGTAAAAGTAAAGAAACTGGAAAAACAATTTTAACAACAATCTTCTGCGAACCAACAGTATTCAGTTCGAAAAATATAATACTTTGATCAACTACTATTTTGCGATTAGTGATATAAACCCCAAAATATTAGGAGATTGTGTGTGACGCTTGGGGTAGAAAATGATTGAGGAAAGTGAGAATTTCAGCTGTTGGTTACTATGTAGATCGAGTCACATAGAGGTAGTGTCGTACATATATGTGAAATTCTGTTGCGTCATTAGCTGACTACATTGGTGTCTTTTTACGTAAAACTAACTGACGAGATTTCAACGAGTATTTTTCTAAAAACAATAGCTGAATAGTACACTCACCTGGAAGGATACACACCAGGAAGAATATTGGCAGGTATTCCTAAACTAGCCAAAATCGGACGGCTCCATTTACGCTAAAACAGCACAGTATACAAAAGAATCAACATGACATAACACTAAGTACTTGAGTAAGTAAACGAAGTGAGATTACCTCTATGTTTTGACTGCAATAAAATAAAGTGATAACTCAGAAAAGTGAAGCTCGTGTTAGATAGTAGTGTAGTGAACAACAACTCAGATGGGGAAGACCAATGTATCGTTTAATGCAAAATTACAAAGTGTATTCGTAAAATATGAAAACCATACACTAAATACATCATTCACCTCTTACAAACCTTATCGTTCCTTCATTCCAACTGTTATTACAATTACTCTCTGTTTACATTTCTTTTCTCTCCAATTCGATATTCTCAACCTTCTGCTGCCAGACATCCCACCTCTGATTAGTGTCACCTACTATTTATGTTTATCAATATAAGTAGCCTACATCACAGCAGCACCATTTCTCGTATAAAATGGTGAGGGATATCATCATTCAGTGACCTGGGAAAACTAAATTTAACCATCTGGGGGAATGTTAAAATATAACTTCAGCTGCAGTATGTTGAGGTGTATGAAATTATTTTACATGCAGCAAGTAGCAAACTAGCGCATTACTTAATGTACAAAAACTAAGTCATAATAATTAATGACTTTATTGTCTTTAGCTGTTGGAAATCTGCCACTGATGTAACCCATCTACAAAGCAAAATCTTGATAGCTCAACGTTCAGCATCTTGGTTATTGGTTGACAATCAAACATTATAAATGCCCTCCATCAAAAGGAATTGTTTAGAGCCTAGAGGACCAGTCTTACAAAATTAGCTTAAATCTTTAGATTTCTTACTTTAGAAGTCGTTGAATTGTGGCAATTTCAACTAGTAAATACACACCTTAATGGTCGTGATTTCATTATATAGTTGATCTAATTATTTATTATGGAAAGCCATAAGTTATAGAGACCGTTAACTATATGTCTACGATGTGTCTCTAAATGACTGAGGAATTTTTACAATGTTTTTCATTATATGACAAAGTCCAGTCGAAAATAAGGCTCTCAACTACAATACATGACTGAAAATACATCGTAACTTACAGAAAAGGAATCATACATGCCAGTAACACTTGCACAGCTAACATCCGTAGCAAATGTTTTGCCACCTGTAAGCCGCCATAGCAACCATGTCTCCAAACAACCATAGCAAAGTAACCCCTTACGACACTCATCAATAAGCTATAGAGAAATGAAAGGATATAAAATAAATTAGCATATATACAACATACCCTTCCATTTATAACAAAAATTGGATGTACTAGTAGTAATCAGAATATCTATTACAGGTATTTTTGGTATCATTTGGGGGGAACTTGAACTAAGGTGGATACATGATTTAAAACTCTTGATTATTTGTTCTCTAATTTAACACCTGCAACTTTAATGCCAGCACTTGAGGCAGTAAGAGTAACACAAAACACTGACCCATAAATTTATTGAATTATTTGACTTGTATAAGAAATAGATGTGACTTGGTCATTAAGGTGTTCGGCTTTTAGTCACCAGGTACTGGGTTCAAACCGCACTCAACCTACTTCAATTTGAACTACTAGGTAGCATCACCGGCATACGGCTTATACACAAGCACATGGTGAATGGATCAAATTTACTTTTTAATAGATTTTTTAGGGCTCCTAAAGCGCTGGACATTACGATTTGCAAACTTCACTAAGACTTATTACAACAAAATAGGACAATTACTTTTCATATTGTTTTAAACCATAATCACTCGATTACATTGCATCTATTCGTTTTTTATTTACTTATGTTCATTAGGGTATTTTAATACACGTTTTTATTCTTTTTGGGTGTCCGAAAAAGTTTATTCCACGTTAGGTAGGGTTTAATCTAACTACCTTACTCGTTATTTCAATACGTCTAAGCAAGGAACCAGTTAACGATTTACAATGCAATCTCAAGTTTGCAAATGCAGGATGGACAAAAATGGGTATATATAAAAATAACACAATAATCAGAAGGAATAGATAAGTAATAAATACTGTGTTATCGAATAGCCACAAAGATGGATGATATATATAGGAGCTGTATTATGAAGTGAATTTTAAGTAGTTGGTAACCATTTAATATTTGTATAAACGGTAAACAGGAGTAATAAAATTCACATATGAAGGATATTTACACCTACCAAATTTTCAGTAAAACAGGCTAATGAAAAAAAAACTAAAATGAGAAAGCTAAGGTACTTAACCAATTACTAATTCAATACTGATGAATTACAATCGAAGTATATGTGATGCGCGGGCTGCGAATATTATTCACTTTCATGCAACAAAATAGGTGATATATATTTCGATTTGCTATTCGCCTACAAGAACAAAAGAAAGTAGGTTTATTCTCACTGGATACTGACCGCATTAGTGGCCAAGATGGTTTAAAACCAGAATCAATAGGAATTCAAGACGTGGTAAAAGCACTTTCATTTTACATATCTAACTTTATGGGGTATACAGAGTAGTTGGAACTTCAGAGATATGAGTCGATATCAACCACGTACGAGATCGCAACAATGTACATTAAGAGCTGATACATTTTTCTAATTGGTCTGTTGACGTTTGAAATCTCCATATTGATTAAACTGTTTCTGTAGTATTAGTGGTAGACATTTTCACTACAATGTAAACAGTACTAGTCCAGATGATTTATTTCTACTCATCTCCGGAAGCATTGTCTGACTGACAACTATCTCTTTTGCAGCCTCTTATAATAATTATAATTTTCTACCGCGGCTAACTGAAAATAGTGAGTGGTTAGTTCACAGACTTGTGGTGTGAATCGCAGTTAGTCTTAAATTGAAATCTGTTGGTGAAACCAGACTCTAAAGACGAAGTCACCAGATCGCCAAGTAAATGGTTTGAAAACTAGTACACAACAGAGAATCAAAACTAAAATGATATCAGTTAGGATTTTGTTGTTTAACTTTCCATGCATGGAAAATTTGCTACGGTCTACACTAATGTGGCTGTTTTTACGCTCAAATAATCCCTACTGCCTTACTTTTTCTCTCTATAATCGTATGATATCATAGAACTGTTTGGAGCACATTGTTGATGGTACGTCAAGATTTTGTCTAAATAAGTACTTAGTGGTAATAATACTACGATACATTTCTTTAAGACCTGAATTCCTTAATATTTCCACAAATCTCCCGACGTTGCTAGATTGTTGTATGGACCAGACCTTCAAATCAAAGGGTTGGGGAGTTGTCATTTACAAAAATCAACTGCCTCGGTCTGGGAATTTAGCTAGTATTCGAGACCACACACAAATGTACTGAATAATGATACAGAAAATGTTATGCTTTCTTTGCCTCATTATCTATACGAACGATATTTGCAGTCTAACAATAAACTTCGAACACACAAATAAACAAAATGAGAAACCAACGTAAACCGCAGACCACTTGTTGCTGCAAGGCGTTCTACCAACCAATATGGACTAAATACAAGGGAATGATATTGTTGTGCATTTTTCAAATATTATTTACTCCTTAACCGCAGCTTAGATAATAATGAATGATTTCTCAGACGTTAAATATACGTCATTTAATTAATACAGAAATCCGAACTTTAGTTTATGTATAACATTAAGGTAGTCGAAAAAAATTCACACCACTTTTGACTTTTATGTAGTTCTTAGTTAAATGGCTGTATTTCCAATATAAGTAGAGATACAAAACTAGAAGCTTTCCAAACAGTAGCACTTGACATGTACTACAAGTTGAAAATTTACTTATTCTGACAGATATTAGATTCATCTTAATCCGACCACGATTCTCGCAAAATGGCTTATATAGTAACATCACGAAGTTTATCTGGAACGCTAGTAATGATATACTTCCCTCACTCATGATTTTACGATCAGGAATCATAAACAAGTTTGAATGATGATTTTGAATTTTAACAAGTTTCATAGTGTGAAATGTCAGGTCACCGAAAGTCTATGGATCAAAAAAATCTTTAGCGAAGATAGTATTAATTGTATCAGTATGTCGTGTTAAAACATGTATCTTATCATTGATATTACGAATGTAGTAACACATTTTCACAATACAAAGGCATCAGAAATAGGATTTTAGTAATTTAAGAACCGACCACAAGAACTAGTAAACATACCTTTGGTTTCTCATTTAATAAATATTTGAGACGTATACATGCTAATACTGTCTTGAAGTGGTACGACGCCAACGCTTTAAACTTTGATTGATGTGTCATCCAATATAACATATGGCCAGCAGTTTTCATACTCTACAAAGCGATAGAATTAGCAAGAAATAAGTGAATAGTATGAAAAATGTAGTAAAAGCATCTAAAAATTATCCCGTCCACATTATTTTGTCAGTTATTTTATTGGATGCAGTTAGTTTATCAACTTCTAAGGTGTCGATGTAGTTATAGTTTTGTAATGACAGTAAATTCATCATATTCAACATAGCAGAACCAAAATCTATTGGAATTATTGAGTGATCTATGTCCTAGTTATTCGACAACTTGCATTAGTCGTCTAACTGACTCAATACTGCCAAGAACCGATTGGCTCACTTAAGTCTAAACTTGATTAGGACACCATTTACCTATTGATCCCAAGGAACGTTCACAACGATCCGAGGGCATTACAGATTAGACATTAAAATTTCAGATATTAATAGCATTATTTACTTTATTCAGGGCGCTGAGACAGAGTGCAATACTATAGAGAAACCTGTGATCCCGGAATTGCTGAAATGAATGTGTTAATCACCTCATCTAACTGAAATCATTCAGGTCAAGTACGCCAACAATACAACTCAATGACACTAATATCGGGTTTACTGAAATCCGAATAGGTGTACCTAAAACATTTTCGTATGTGGTACTTATCTTACTTAGAGTACAGATTAACAAGCATATGAGAATCCGCCCATTAGGAGTAAAGAAATGATATATGAGAAAGAAACCAAGCATTTAAAACTACGACTACACAGTTCAAAAAAAGTTAAACACACTTTGAAATGGGTTTCTAACAGTGATAACAATAAAGTAATTTACAGTTGTTTCCCCATAATACGCAGGTTTCACTCATTAGTAATGAGTATACAGTACTTACATAATAAGAAATATTACCGTTGTGGGTGTGAAGTCCCCAAATACAACTTGTGGGAAAGGAATTGCGATTATATTATGATATTCAGTGTGAACTCTGTACATGGATATACAATACATTTTTACCATGATTGTATTTAGTGACAAATAATTTCATAAATTATTTCTCAATTGTTTCGGGGACATCATCAACAAAGCTCTCACTACTAATCTGGCTTTTTTACTCAAGTTATCGGGGTAGGGAAGACGATAGTAGTCTCGTTTATCGTATTGGGATCAGAGTTGCGAAATATAAGTATAGCGCACAGACGTATTAATTGCTCAATCTATTTTTGTTTATTTACTTATAGAGTTGAAGGGGCTGGTTTGACAGCTAAGAGAACTGATTTTTAATTATTAGGTCACAAATCGAAACGCAGCACCACTTCAGTCTGAGTGATCAAGTTCTCTCTAGTTTTTATACAGTAGTTCAAAAGTAAGTGCACAGATCTGTACTTGATATGAGTTTCTTGGTACGTAAGACATGTTAAAAACGCAGCAACGTAATATTACTTTCGGAGGTAAATGTGAAGTACCTGTACAATCAAACTAAATTCTGAAAGTTATGAATAACCTATGACACTCTTAAGGTAAAATCAAACTTTGCTAAGTGAATGAGAATCGCTTTTTTTAGAATAAGAATGCTAAAAATAACACTGGTCGTTGATTATAAATGAGAAGTACGAACCAATCCTGGCAAAATCACCTACTAGTTGTAAACAGTTAGCCACGATAACATTAATTTAGCAATATTAGGGCGAATAAAACGGTTTGGATCGGTGACTTAACAGCTAAACTACTACATATTGCTAATGGTGACTTAAGCCACGGGCAATAACGGATAAGCATAAGGAATAAATTACAACTTACACGAAAGATAAAAGACTGGTTTAATTTTTTGGCGAGATCCAAAGAACGTGTATCTAGCCACGTGATAACACGAGTTCGAGGATTTGATGTCTTCCTGTCAAACTACTCATACTTAGAAATAATATCTTACTTATCCCACAACAATAGGCTATTTCGCTGAACCGAAATACCTATACAATTGATCCGATCAGGGTTAATTTCTGCATCTACATGATTATCCACAAAAGCGTTGGTGTTACCTTGTAATACTTCATCTAACAGCTTGCAAAAGGATTCCCATACAGCTTCTGGATCCAATTCGCAAGCACCATCAGACCCTTCAAGCCGAGGTACCTGGAAGAAAAATATATTTGTAACATTTTTCAGGGTGTAGCTGACTGTTTACACTTATCTAAATATTATTTCAAAAGACAAAATCGAAAAGTATATTATGCAGAAAGAGTAAATGCGAAGGCTAGTTAAAAATCAAGCTATCCCAAATGAATTGGTTCGAATAGGTCCCGAGCTAACCCCATGTTTGCTGAAAATCAAGGGGGGTAACTAGTAATCAAAAATGCTTAAGCAGGGACTAGAAGTGCCTGAATTATTATCTCGAAATAATATATACAATTATTGGCTTGGTATAATGCTAAATTATAATGCAAATGATAAAATGTTGGTGAATAATTAGCTTGACAATTTTAATTTAAACCATAGATCACATCAGAGGCACCATTTAACTCAGATAGAACGAAACAGTAGTATCGTAGGCGCTTACAGCAGATCCAGTTCACAGTCCAATAAGCGAATTTCTAGGACCGTGTAATATACATACATATATCATTGTTTAGTGTTGTGCAGTTTAACAGACCTTAAGTCAGTCAGTAACAACGTAGAACTTCGTACGTACGTACATTAGTTCGAGTCGCCATACCACATTAACACAGAGATACAGTTGTCGATTCAAATCCCGTAGTGGTAGAGGTAGTAATAGTATAAGCAGTAATCGGAAAGATTAGGGTTTGAAGATGTTATTCAAAGGGTATAATCTAGTGAAATAAATTTGGAAAGAGAAAAAAAGAAGGGACATGAAGAATTCGAGAGATTACAATTTGAGAGAACACAAAGATTGGATGCACCTGCGCTATTGCAAACGATTTTGAGCTATGTCATTCAAGGTCTCTAACCATCGGTTGCTATCGTCTCGCGGATCCCAACCAGGTAGTCTACACCTACCAACATGACTCAGTCCACTTGTCAGTGACTTCATGGGTTTGTGCCACTTTTTGGTCTGGCAGTTCCTAGCTTTCTTTCAACCTACTCCTACACCATCAAAAATCGCACGTCGGGGCAGTCGATGGTTGGGCATACGTAACTCATGTTCCAGCCATCTCAAGTGATGAAGTTTCACTACTCCATCAATTGATTTGCCATCCTTACCCAATGCCCGTTTTCTAACGACTGCATGAGTTACTTGGTGGTCCCAAAATATACGAGCAATATTTCGAAGACACCTATGATCAAATACTAGTAACCTATGGATATCCTCTACTCTTACCGGCCATGTTTCACTGCCACAAAGTGGGACAGAACGAACTGCTTTGCAGTAAACACGTCCTTCGATTGGTAGACGGATATCTCGCTAACGCCACAAATGACAGAAGTTGGCAAAATCTAGTCGAGCCTTCTGTATCCGTGCTGAGATTTCGTCACACACCAGACCACAAGGGTTGATGAAACTTGCAAGTTAAATGAAGCGGTCGACACACTTAACTACTTCACTCCCTATCATTAGTTCGGGTGTCGATACAACCCAACCCAGAAGTGCAAAATGGTGCTTCAGACCTTAAATGGTTGTTTACTTCATAAGTCGAATGAACTATTTGTCCGTAAAATCTTCCAAGGACAACAAAATGATCTCAGACACCATTTATTTTTAGTTCGACAGATTCTTAAGAAAATCCATTTATACTATCACGTCGAATAAGGCGTTATGTTGAACATACTGTGGAATTACCTCAAGGCATTCGAACCCGATTCCTATTTTCGGGACAGAAATTTAAGATACGAACAATCGGACTACGATTGGAATTCATGACTATCAAAAACGTCGGGAGCATTTCTTAAAACCTAGTGACATTGATGTTTGAGAACTTGCTGAGCGTATGGGATACCAACTGCATCCATTTTAATATGTTCCTGCAGCCAATCCGTGGTTCCGTGAAGTCCTATTTGAGTGTCTAAAATGGTTAGCCACTAACTAGTAGGTTCTCATGTAGAACTCTGTTTCACCTTATTCGATTTAGGAAGTCAGGCACTATACCAAATTTGTCGTTTCAAGTCGAGCATGTAAACGCACACCTGGCAAGTAACTTTCTAGTTACTGGAAACTGATGTGAGAGATCTCGGTTAAACTAACCCGGTATGATGGAAGATTCAAATAGACAGTTTGATAATGTGCAAATTACGAAGTCATAAAACAAAACCACCAGACTCAGCTTCATAAATTGTTAAGTATGGAAATGAAATAGACGGAAAAACGTTTTGACACCAATTTTGTGTGACTCACTTTGGTGCTGCTACATCCGATGACCTTAAGATCCATAGTGTAGACCCTGGCGCATGCATGAGTGCTTCCGAAATCAACACCCAATATGAATTTTGAAACCGTTCGCTGTGAATCAATTTCAACGCAATAAGTCAAAAAGCAAGAAACATAAATGTCAAATTTATATTTGAAAAAAAACTTCTAAGGCATACATTTAAGTATTTTGCATATCTTAATGGTCATGTTTGGGACTAGAAATGGCTATCGCTTTTGCAAGCTCCCTGACCTTGGCGTCCTGAATCTCAACTACCGTCATGAGCTCATTAACCCGACTAGTTAGCTGATCCAGTGTTTGTTGTATGCAATCATCCTTATTATGTTCTTTCCTTACTTGCCGGCGATATTCAAGCAGAAGGCAAGTGGCCCCAACCACAAAAATGATAATTTCCCCGAGCACTTCTGACCCAAGGTCAACGGCAGCATCTTCACTCAACTTGTTAACCCCCTTTGGTAATTCCAGACCCAATAATTTTAATTTTAGTCGGGTTTCCCACAAATGATATACTATTAATAATAAACTGCTATTTTAGAGAACTTACATTGTGCTGGAGGCAGGCACACATAGTTCCTGAAAAATGTATTTGTTTTGGCCTTGCGCTTCAGGTAGTTGGCCAGGGGCTTTCCTATTTGTTTTATAGCCAATGCTCCCAATTTAAATACCGGGAAAGCCCCAACCATATGGTTTTAGTTGCAAAGTGCGCCTTTATTGGTTACTCATGAAACCTGTGAATGTACAATCCTCGAAACTTTTATTTCATTTAAGTAACCAGTACGTCAAGAATATTTCATATTATTTAAGTGTATTATTGATTTTTGACGAAGATTAGTGTAAATTCCTTATCGATAGTTCATAAACCTGAAGTACTTGCCTTGTCGGCGCGATTTTCGAACGGGAAGTTTAGTCCTAACGTGATTTGCATATATCAAACTTTTGCTGTGTTCTTACGCAACAAAAGTACCATTTCAGTTCTAAAAAATCTATCCTGAGCTATACGTTCGGTAGATTACTTTTTTTTTTGAGTTTCACTATATTTAATAGTTACCTGTGGTTTTGCCTCAGCTTACTATTCGGTTTTTTTTGTTTTTCACGTATAGACTAGTTTCAGTTTATATCACTCGTTTTGTCCGTTTTTGTCCTTTTTCAGTGTGCATTTTAGTGTTCTTTTTAAAAAGGTCTTAAGCTTTTGCCAGCATCTATAACATAGTTTGCTTCAACACCGTCATGAAAAACTCATGCAAACGTCCGGGATGCCGTTTTGCTGTCACAACTGGCATGCAGTGTGACAACTGCAAAGGTTGGTTTCACGAAGCATGCACAAATCTGACAGCAACTGCTTACAACAAACTCAGCAAGTCAGACCAAAAGTGGGTATGTGTCACGTGCAACACGGACGCAGTAGTCTTGCTGAGTAACATCATTGTCCTACTGACAGGTCTTCGAAACAAGCTGTCAGTTAATTTGGAATACGACAGTAAAAAAACCGATATACAAACAAGAGCGCGCAACGGACTCAAAAATAGGGATGTCGATAGGTATGTCATCGATGGAGCATCCATCAACACTAACGACGACGTGTCGAGGCTCAGTACCATCATTACGTCGACGGTACTAGACTCCCTAGGCAAACTCGGGTCTCCCAGCTCAGGGTCGCTGAACACAACAGTGGTTCCCAAAAACCCTGCAGGCGATTCGACCCACGTTAAGAGAGCCCAAAAGAACCAGGCATCACCGCCTAAGCCGAGCAACCCAAGTGTTGCTGCACGGAAAATAACTGGTGATTTAGTCGCACAGTCTACCCCCAAGACTGTTCGTCCGGTCAATAAAGAGCCCAAGATTCATAGACGCACACTGACCTCCAAAAAACAAGTTATTAAACCTGAACCCATCGTGAAACCTGGTAAATTAACAACAGTTCGTGACGATTCTCTCATTATCATGAACCTCGTCGACAATCCTGACTTTCCTCTCAGTCTGCAGGATAAAAACGACAGGATGCTGTGGGGTGAATTGAACAAAAAGCTCGAACTTCCTAGAATAGAGCCTTTGACGGTCACCCGGCTCACTCGAGGAAAGGATTCTAAGCATCTAAATCACCCGAGGCTTCTCCGAGTAACACTTAAGAATGCTACCGACGTAGAGGACGTCTTGCTAGCAAGTCACTTACTGAAATCAGATGGTAACGTAAGAATATTGCCCGACATACCGTACTCTGAGCGCAATATAATACGAAACGTCCCTAAAGAATCTCGGGAGAAGTTCTTCCGCGGAAGAAATATAATTGTCCAAGGTATACCGGAAAATGCAGACCCTACTCAATCAAATTCTGACATCAGGGAATGGAAATTCATCAAACAGTCCTTGAGGCTCAAACACATACTGACTCAGCATGTGACGAGACTAGCCAAGAAGGACGGTGATCTTAGACCCCGTCTAATGAAGATAACCTTCCCATCTTCCCACATGGCGGCTGCAGTTCTGGAAGCATTTCGTGCTAATAGACGTCGATTGCCACCTGGAATCCACATGCACCCGGATAGGCCATACGAAGTCAGGACCAAGAACAAAGGCAAGCTGGAGCTGACCATTCCACTTGTGGACTGTCTAAACGATAAAAAAAACGTGTAAAGGACAGGGCCTACCACCTCGGCAAACCTCATATAGGTGGGCTACCTGTCCATTCACATAAGGTTCATACAGAAAAACAGGACGAAGCTCATGCGTTCCAAATTGAAAGCATAAACTGCTTATATATGAACGCCGCGAGTTTACCAAACAAACTGGATGAACTACGTGAACTTAGCAACGCTAACAAGGCCCATCTGATAGGAATATCTGAAACCTAAATATCTTCTCAGTTCTCGGATCAAGAGTTAGCATTGCCTGGGATGACTTTGTTCCGCAACGACAGAAAAATAGGAATTGGGGGCGGAGTAGCCATATACATAAGTTCTTGCTTGGAGGTGCACCAGGTTCACAACCTCGAGTTTAACAATCTTGAGGAATCCATATGGTGCTCTGTAAGGTTGTCTAGTACTTCCAGGTGTCTAGTCGGAGTCATTTACAGGAAGCCAACTGCCGACACCGAGTACGATAGTCGTATGCTGGAAGGACTATCCCGCTCTATCCGTCTCGGTTTCACACACATCCTGATTCTAGGGGACTTTAATCTCCCTAGAGTCAACTTCGCGGAACACACGTACACTGGAGGCGACAACTCAACTGAAGCTCGGTTCTTCAACCTCATCGATAACTTGGGCTTATATGAAAATGTGAGGTCGGCAACTCGTTGGAGATACAGTCAGACACCATCGCGCTTAGACTGTGTATTCACTAACGAAGAATTCCTAGTCGACAACCTCTCAATCCTGGCTCCTCTGGGAAAAAGCGATCATGCCGTCATAGCCTTCAGTTTTGTCATCAAAACTAAGCTAAGGTATCCCAACAATAATTTGCGATGGAATTTTAAACGGCTGAATGTGCGAGCTCTACATGACCATCTACAACAGGTGGTTTGGGATGTTCACCCTCAAATCGATGTGGATGGTCATTGGGACTTCTTGCTGCACACGCTCTTATGTGCTACAGACCATTCAGTTCCTCAAACGGTTCCCAAAAGCTTCAAGCCACCTACAGTAATCAAGAACCGTACCCTTCGCCTCCTAAGCCGCAAACGGCACTGTTGGGCGGAATACAAACGAACTAATAACGATGGAGCGTATAGGCAATACAAACATATCAGGAACACATGCACGAAGGCTATAAGAGAAGACAGGCTTCAGTACCAAACAAAGCTTATGGACAAATTCGCCTCTAACCCTAGAAGCCTATTCCGTTATGCAGCCTCTCTTCGTCAAGCCAAAACAGGAGTTTCTCAACTGCTAGGTCCTAACGGCCCGACCAACAACGATGGCGACGCCGTTAACCTTCTGGCGGCCCATTACTCTCAAACATTTCAACCGGCTGATATCAACTTTACTCATGACAGTTTCATCTGCAATTCCACAGGACTTTCTGAAGTGGACCTAAGCGCTGACTTGGTGTTCCGGAAACTGCAGCACTTAAGACTTGACACTTCTCCTGGCCCGGATATGGTTCATCCTGCCATACTGAGGGAGGCAGCCTCAATCCTGGCAACGCCGCTTAGCGTGATGTTTTCACACTCGCTTAGCCGAGGCAAACTACCGGAAAATTGGAAGTTGGCTCACATCACACCAGTTTTCAAAGGTGGTCGACGCAATGAACCTTCAAGTTACCGGCCGGTAGCTCTTCTGTCGTTACCTTCAAAACTCATGGAGTCCCTGATATGCGACGGTTTAAATGACTACCTACTGTCCTTAAATTTCTTCTCACCCCAACAGCATGGTTTCAGGAAGGGTTACTCTTGTATAACCAACCTGCTGACTGCGGTGGACAGATGGACAAGCATCCTCGATCGCAAGGGAAAGGTTGATGTCATTTACCTTGATTTCTCAAAAGCTTTTGATAAGGTTAACCACTTGTGTCTTATCAACAAGCTCAAACGACTAGGTATCAAACCACCTCTAATCGACTGGCTTACTTCATACCTAAAAAATCGACACTTTAAGGTTAGGGTTAATTTCACTTTATCTCAAGCTATGGAATGTCCTAGTGGGGTCCCCCAGGGCTCAGTACTAGGGCCTCTTCTCTTCTTGATCTACATAAATGATCTTCCTCAACAGGTAACGTCAGACTTATTACTTTTTGCCGACGACGTGAAACTTTGGAGAGAGATACGCAACCAAGACGATATACAGGCACTTCAAGAGGATCTGACTCGACTTCAAAGTTGGGCAGACGATAACGGACTTACCTTTAACACTTCTAAGTGTAAAGTAGTCCATCTGCGACATGTCGCAAACTACAGTTACAACTTAGGAAACTCCTCTCTAGTAGTATCCCAAGTCGAAAAAGATTTAGGAGTCCTGGTGCCCCATGACTTAAAGTCTTACGCTAATTGTGACAAAAATGCCTTCCGAGCAAACCTTGCACTGGTAACGTTGAGGCGCATTTTTGGTCAGTTTGACGGAAGAACTTTCCACACAATCTTCAATAGTTTCATCCGTCCTTATTTAGAGTACGGAAACATAGTACTCCCCCCTCACTCCAAAAGGATAAGGTCACTTTGGAGCGTATCCAACGGCGAGCCACGAAATCAGTTCGAGGACTCAAATCTAAGCCTTACGAAGAACGCCTCCGTTCACTAGACCTTTACCCACTAGAATATAGGCGTCTTAGAGGTGATTTATTAATGGCTTATAGTATTCTTAACACTTCTGGACATCCTCTTAAACACCTACTTAAGCTTAGTTCGAACAATAACCTAAGGGGTAACACCCAGAAACTGGAAACACAACATAGCAAGACGGAATGTAGACACAACTTCTACTCCTTAAGAGTTGTCAAAAGCTGGAACTCGCTGCTAGTCCAAGCGACTTCTCAGGAGTCCTTCAAGAGGCAACTTGACCTATTCTTAAGGACCAAGGACAGCATCGCACTATGATTTACCAATTTCTTTTCCTCTTTTATTGTTAACATACCTAGGTTCCTGCCTGGAGGATTTGGTGATCCCCTGCTACTAGACACGGAAGCCTGTTAAGCGAAAGCTTCTTCTATTCCGTCCACAACCATTTGAACCATTTGAACTAACTATTATCAGTTTCAGTTTGGAAAAGACAGGAGGCTTGATGACCTG